TTTAATTTAGTTAATTAACGTGGACCGTTGATCTATGATCGAACGGTCCATTTTAAAAGTCAAATTTAAATTTTTTTTACCGTTGGAAATCCAACGGCTATGATCATGCCGCGTCACTCCGGAGCACAAGTGGGCTGACAGCCCTCTGAAACCTTGTCGGGCACTCGCCCCACGTCGCCGTGAAGCGCACGCGCCAGGCCAACATCCCGGCTTCTTGCTCAGTTTCATTTGGGCTGGTCCATTGCCCAGCTCGGGCTGGGTACCAGTCAACTTGAGGGGGTGGAGTCATTTGACAGGGTCCTGGCCTTGTTTTTGTGCTGGGTCCTGGGCAAAGTGCACTTCGGTGGACTTGCTCTAATGCTCATTATTCACATCAAACAGCCGACAGTGGAATTGAGTCAATTTTAATGGTTGACAGCCTATCCCCCATCCGACCCACAGAACGGGCCCACAGAGTATTATCATGTACAACGATTTACTTAGCATCAATAGGTAAATTATTATCATACAACTTTGAAAATCTAGTTTGAAAATTTCGCCTACCAATGCTCATGCACATAACTAGTTTAAAATAATCATTAATTAGCCAAATTTACAAACAAACATAACTAAATGTATCATCACATAATAAGGGGCTTCAGGACTACAAAATTATGTAATCTAAGTCATAAAGCAAATTTAATGAATTTTTCTAATTAAAGCACAGTCAACGACCAAGGGTTTGCTGTCCGTAGTTGCATGACTCTTTGTTATTATTTTTACATGTGTCATTTCACTTAATTTTAAAGTTAACATTGTTAACTAATAGTCGTCATTTAGTATTACAGTTTAGTTGTATTCTTCTTCATTTATAAGTGACATGTCTTAAGTTTGATTCTCGTCAAAGGCGAATTTGAACCACATTATTACTAGTTCATTGTGAGACTAAGCCTACCTCTCTCATTTAGTGTAGATAATATCGTTTGTTCAAAATAAATAAATAAAAACTACTAGTCATATGCTCACACGTTATACATGTGTAATTAAACTTGACTATTAATTGTTATAAAAATATTTTTGTCACTTTTTTTTTTAAAATAAAACTTTGTAATTAAATTCGTGTATTATTTTTTATAAAAATATTTGTCACTTTTTTTAACAAACGATATTATCTATAATAAAAGAGAGGGAGTAAACTTAACCTCACAATGGATTAGCAATAAAAAAAATTATATAAAAAAAAGAATAAAATTGGGATGCAACTTGGAAGAAGGGGAAGAGGCTGAAGTGGGAGACGAGAGCTTAAAGAAAACCTACTTAATTTTTTAATCTAATTTTTAACTTTTTTTTTTTTTTTGTCATATGATAAATTTTGTTAGATTAGCCATCGATAAAATTCAAATTTACGACGTCATGCAAGAACTCAACTTCTTTCCACCATTGTTGTAAAGGGCCACTTGCATCTAATTTTTAACTTTTAAGTAGGTGTGTTATGTATATCAGGCTGTGAAGTTTGTGTAAAAAAATAACAAAATTTATATTGTATGTAATTACTAAATTGCTCATATATTCTGTTTTGTACAATTTTAATGAGAGGATTAGCATAATAATTTTAAGAAGTTTTGGTTCACAAATAAGATTTTATTAATAGATTAATACGTATTTAAAACATATATACACATAACTAATTAAAAAAACTACAGCGTTAAATTATTTGACTTCGATTTAATACCTTGTTCCTAATCATGCCCAAATTAATAAACCCTCTCTCAACCATCTCTCTCTGTGATTTTCTCACTGAGAGACCCCAAACCCTAACCCCCTTCCGTTTTTCATCTCCTTTTCAACCAAAAAAAATATTAATACACAGCACAAGTAGTCCCGAGCGCTAATCACTCCCAAATCGCCGTTACATCAGGTCTTGGTCGACGGATTCGATGCCGAGCAGATATGGCAGCAAATCGACCTTCAATCGCAGCCGCTCATCTCGACCCTTCGCCGCAATTTGAAGCCGGAAATCATGTGCTTTGACGACGACGGTGAAGGGAGTGAGTGTGAGGAGAGAGATAGAAATGATGAAGAGGAGAGAAAGGAAAATGAACGTGTGAAAGTGAAAGTGAAGGGGAAGGTAATAATGTGATAGAGGATGGGTTGTCGGGTGTTCGTGTTTATTTAATTAAATTCCTATATAATAATTAACAGTGTTAATTCTAGAGTTAAGTGGAGGGGAAGAGACACAAATACGACGTGCAGTCTGGAAAAATATATATGATGGGTTAAAGGCAAAGAAAAAGGAGTTCTAAGGGGGAAAGATAAATTTTTCATTTAAATAATTAAAGCTGAATAAAATAAATAGTTACCCGTTCTCAGTGTTTTTAAGATCGTAACCAGACAAGTTTGCAGCTTCAGTAAGAGTCTTTCTCCATTGCTTTACCCTTTCTCTCTTGGTTTCCCGTTTTTTGTCATCTTCTTCTTTACGGATGTTCTCTTCGTGCTTCTGAAACATTGGGGCTAAACTACCTTCCTGCTTCCTGATGTCTGAAGCTTCAACATCATAGAATATTGGCAAAACATGTTGCTCCAGTTCGGATTTGCACTCCATGATCTTCACTAGCTCGTCGAGACACCAACTCGAATCTGCGTACCTCTTTGAGAAGACAATGATAGAGATCCTTGACTTTTCGATGGCTCGCAATAGTTCGGGCTTTATTTCTTCCCCTCTTTCCAGATCGTCCTCATCAATAAAGGCCTTGTAGCCCTTTTCTTCCAATGCTGTGTGGAGATGGCCCGTGAAGCCCTTGCGTGTGTCTTCGCCTCTAAAGCTCAAGAACACGTCGTACTTCCAGAGTTTTGAGGAGGATGATGAAGAGGAGGCACCGTGGGCTGCCATGGCTATATCCACTGTATAGCACTGCAGTGGTTCAGATTACGACTGAAAAATATGACAGTGGTTGTGTTTGTTTTGCCAAACCGATGATACTCAAACCCCTAGGATTTGGATCCTCTCCTGAGCCCATAAAGAACATCCTCTAACCAAACAATGTTGACCGTTGGATGAATATAACTTTAAATGAATCTTTTATTTGTAATCGTTGAATAAAAATCTAACGACCCACACTATTTAGTCATGAGGATCCTCTTCTTGGGCTCAGGAGAGGATCCAAATCCCAAACACCTAAACCCAAGTCAAGATCCTTCAATTTACAAGAACAAAAGTTTATAATATAATAATGTTTTGGTATTGATTCGAGAAACAACATACAGCTGGGCGAGAAGGTGCAGGGAAAAAGAGAGGAAAGGTGGAAAGGAACACAAAACGACAAAGACTATACAAAAGATTCTTGAAAACTCTGAAATATGCTTTATTCACGTTAAAGGGAGGCTCGTGTTTGCTTTTCAAGAATAAGAGGGTAGAAACAATTAAGATCTACCTCCTTATATTTTCTCTTAAATTAATTCCCAACCAATGTTAGTCACATTCTCCTTTAAAAATTTTCGCTCTATGTTTTATTTTGTTTTTTATTTTGCAATGTCATAATTTAAATCTTTGTTTTCGATATTACTCTTTAAATATCAATTATGTTAAAGTTCAACCAAATTCAATAATCTAAATATTATATAATAAAGTAAAGAGAAATACTAAGAAGACTCTTCACAATTAGACTTTCTAGAAATTATCCATCACCTCATGTTTTTGGCAAAGTTTTCATGTCAACATTATCAAATATTGTGCAAAAAACATGAGTTATTGTGCCAAAAACATGAATTGATGAAAAATCCATACAGAATCTCATTTTCTAACGAGTCTTCTTAGCATTTCCTTATAATAAAAAGACAAATCATATTATCTGTGTTGAACTAATTCTTATTCAAAGTAAAGCATCTTAAGGGCTAGTTTGGTATTGCTGTGCTTTGAAAAAAGCTGTTGTGAGAATAAGCGGCTGTGCTGTGAGAATAAGCGGCTGTGAAATAAAGCCAGTAGAGTGTTTGGTAAACTTTTTTGTGAAAGTGCTTTTGGAAAAAAAAGCAGGATGATAGTGTGTCTTTTCATTAAAGGAGCACTGTAGCTCCGTGTGCTTTGAAAAAACTGGCTTTTTTTCAAAGCAGCAAATAGCAGCTTCAGCTTTTCCTTTGATTTTCAGCTTATTCTCACAGCAGCTTCCAAAATAAGCCCTTTTTTTTCAGTTTACCAAACACAAAAATGACCCTCAGCTTTTTTTCACAGTGGCTTTTTTTAAAATCACCTCAATCCCAAACGGGGCCTAAGTCCAGGCCCTTGGCAGACAAAAGTGTACCGGCACAAAGTAGGACAGTGGAAAATAAAAACAAAGTGGAAAAGCAGGAGCTACGTTTTTCAAAACCACAACGCTGGGCGTCTTAAGATGAAAAGTATATTAGCAAAAAATTGACAGTTGATATTTACGAGAAGTTATTGATATTTTAAAAATTATTTGAAAGTATTTTTATAATAACTATAAGTGATTGATCATATTTATTTAACACTGAAAGTAGAACGGTAGAACCAGATCGATCTTCATGTAGAAATATTGAAGGCAGAGAAAGTAGGGTAAGAGCGATATAGTTTTGGCACATGACGGGCAGGGCAAGGAAAAGGTGGATGGATCAATGCCAAACCACTCAGATATGTAATTTTTACGTCCATTCATTTATGAGGAAGATATCAAAGCTATATGTGATACTCCTTTGGGAATTTGTTCTCGCCGGGACCGTTTGATCTGTACGTTGAGTAGGACAGGTAAATATTCGGTTCGGTCAGGTTATCATTGGATTCATTCCTTGCGGGGGTTGACGGGGGCTCATGCTTCATTCGGTCCAAGTACTTCGAGGACCTCGATTTGGCAAGCTATTTGGAAAATTAATGCCCCGCCTAAAATTCGTCACTTTTTATGGCGAGCTGTGAGTGAGGCTTTGGCTACTATAGGGGGTTTATTTAGGCGCAGGTCTGCTTCATCTCCCATGTGTCCTATTCATGTGTCCTATTTGTAAGACTCAGGAGGAATATGTGCTTCATCTGCTGCTGCGGTGCCCTTGGGTTGAGCCAATTTGGTTTGGTGGTCTGCTTGGTCTTCGGAGGGTTGGTGAAGGTGTGTCTTCTTTTCATCAATGGCTCAGTGATTTGATCATCCAGACTCCTAATCTTCAGGACAGATCGAGGCTTCTTTCTGTCATAGCTTTCTCTTGCTGGTACATTTGGAAAGCTAGATGTAATTTTGTCTTTAAGGCTTCTACCTTAGCTCCCTCACAGGTGCTGCATACTATTTCTTTATCCCTGGGTTCTTTTTTGGAGGTGCAGGTCCCTTTGTCCCGCTCCCGACCATCCCCCGTTCTGGATCCTCGTTGGTCCCCCCCATCTGCTCTCTTCATAAAAGTTAATGTTGATGCAAGCTGGTTTCAGATGGATGGTAAGGCTACGTTGGCTGCGGTGCTGAGGGATCATAATGGGCAATTTGTTGTGGCTCACAAGTTGTCTATTAGTGCTCCGTCGGTGATGTTCGCTGAAGCTATGGCGATGCTCAAGGGCTGTGAGTTGGCGGCGACGATGGGCTTCCGGTGGATTGTTGCGGAATCAGATTCGCTTGAGGTGGTCTCGTCTTTGAAGGGTAATATTTCAAATGGCAGCTGAGAAGTGTTCCCAATCCTAGAATCTACTTTGTGGTTGGGGAATTCTTTTCAGGGTTGTCGCTGGTCTTGGGTTCCAAGACTGGCCAATCAGTCGGCGGACCGTCTGGCGTCGAGGTCTATTGTGGAGATGTGCGGCAACATTTGGGTCAGGCGACCCCCATCTTTGCTGGTTCACATTCTCAACAAAGATGGTCTTCCTTGCCCTCCGTAAGTGTTTTTTGATGTGGGTGTGTGTTGGGATGACGTTTTACCTTTGTGGTAGCGTCCTTATTCTGTTGTTCTCCCTCACACTGCCCTTTGTTTGTTTTGTTGTGCTTGCCCTTGTGTGGGCTTTCTGTTTTCTGTTGGCTTTTGCCCTGTGTTCTTATAAAGGCTTCGTGGTTTCAAAAAAAAAAAAAAAAAAAAAAAAAAACCACTCAGATATGTACAAGAACGCCTGCGTGTCCTCCACTTACATCCCAGTCCAATATTCCACCTTTTGCTTTCCCCTTGCCTTTGCTTGTAAGTGGCTACTTTATTTCTTCTTAATTTTCTTATTAATTCGGGTTTAATCCTTCCAGAATAACTTATTAATTACCACCACTTGCTTATAATAATAATACTCTTAATGTGCCCACTTTTATGAGAAGTTTTTTAGTGTGTCAAAAACACGATCTAGTACATTAAGTATCAAATAAGTGGTTGAAATTGTTTTTTCAAGTGTCAAGCCAATTGTATTATGACACTTGTATAATAACATATGACGTTTTGTGCCGTGTTTCGAACACGTTGAAAAACTCTCCAGTGTTGGTTCATATACAGTTGCAAAAAGAAAGTAAAAATGTTAGAGAAACCATCTTTTTAAATTACTAGCAAAAGGGCCCGCGCGATGGTATTGGTAAAACTGTTAGACATAACAAAAACAGTTGGTGCAAAGTTGTAATGAATAGTTTGTAACTTACAGTTTCTTGACATGTTCATGCTTTGGGCAGCATCTGTACAAACCAAACTAAATTTATTAATTAAAAAAATTATTTGCTTCCTCTGCCCAACCCAAATTAATTCAAACAAAATTTGCACAACACAAATTAAGAGATCAAACCAAATCTACACGATTCAAATAAGAGATCAAACCAAGCTAATCTTTTCCTTTTGGAAAAAGCAGCAGACTCTTGGTAGAAAAGTGAGGTAATTTGTAGTGTACATGTAATCAGACCTCCATAATTCAGGTTGGCTTTAATTGATCAATCCACACATGCTTACTGAAATTCTGAAATATCTATCAAAATGAAATCACACATCTAATTTGGAAAACAAAAATACAAACCCTACTAATTCAAATAAGAAAAACGCACAGTTCCCAAATAAAGAGCATGGTTCAAGTTAGTGATTTGATTTATGCAATAGCAACCTATCAATTTATATAAATTAAAAATATTTAAATATATACTTCAATAATGTTTATAGTTATTCTCTACTGCAAGCAATTATTTTTATTTGACAGAGTTCATTATTTTGTAAGCAATTATTTGTTTACAAATTTGAAAACGATTTATTCACTTAAGTTCCTAATCAGAATAACATAAACATTCACATTAATAAAGAACTTGAAAAATGGTATGGACCTCCCACCACATATAGGTTATTCCACTGGATGATATCCATTTTTAGACCTACCACTTCACCCAACAGACGGGTTCCTCCACTAACAGTATTAAACTTACTATTTTGTATCTTCCACTCCCACTTCGTGCTCTCCCTCTTCCTCATACAAACCAAAATCACAAAACTTCCTAAAGTTGGAGTCATTTCACTCCTCTCTTTTCAAAAATTACAAACACGTTTTAATCCTGTTGATGCACAAAATCAACGAAGACTTTGGTACAACAGAAAGTGTCAGTTTTTGTGACCTTCGCTTGGTTGCTTCGGTCACTAGTGAGGATAAGTACGTAAATGAATAGAGACAGAGAAGCAAACACAGGATGTACGTGGTTCACCCAGATTGGCTACGTCCACGGAGTAGAGGAGTTCTTATTAGTAGTGAAGGGCTTACACAAGTACAAAGGATCAAGCTCTCAATTTAGTGAGTTCTTGTGAATGATTTAACACAAATGGCATTAGGCCATATTGTGGGGGAATGACCCCTATTTATAGAAAAACTTGTAGCTTTGTCACATTGACATGTGTCATGTTATGATTGGTTCTTGATGTCGACACGTGCTGCGCTCTGATTGGCTTCTAATCTTGACACGTGTCGAGTAGTGATTGGCCTCCTGGTCGGAGGGGAACTCTTCTGGGTCCTTGACAGTATATAGCGTTGGCCGGTGCTCGGTAGTTTCGGGATTGGTCAAGTATGGTACAAACAGTGCTCCCCTAAGTTCCCGAGTGAGGGAAACTCCTCGGTTGGGGACTTGCAAGATCCAATCCCTTGAGTAATCACGAAACTTCTAAGTACCGAAGTGTGGTCTGATCTTCATCTGCCCTTCTCTGGAAGTACCTTTCCTCCATCCGGGAATGGTGTATTTAGCTGATGTTGATGCACAAGGTAATGTATCAATTTCACTTGAAGCTTACTTGTAGTTTCGGGCTTGGTCAAGTGTGATACAAACCCTATAGTAGGAGTCCCCCAAGTCGCCGAGCTAGGAGATCTGCCGAAAGAGGTGACAGACAAGGTAAGCAGTCAAACTTCCAAGTAAGCAACCCAGGATCAGAGGTTTGACTTCGGCTTCCGGTTGATTGTTCTCCTTCTCCTTGTCTCTCATTCAACTGCCAGGATAAGGAGAAGCAAATGGATAAGAGATGATATGAGATACTTTTGCTTTTGAAGAAGTAACTTTCCACAGGCTTATTCTTGAACTGTGCTGGAGGGTTTTCTGGTGCCCTTCAGAGTATAAGGCCGACTCAAAAATTTGAGGGTCAAAACAAGTCCATCAAATCTAGAGTACGTTCGACCTTGATGATATGGGATACTTTTGCTGTTGACGGAATAATGAATGTGGTATGGAAAGGTGTCGTGCTGTAGTGATCTGTTTCAGCTCACCGTTGAACCTTCTGCTTCAATCTTTTGCATGGCAGAAGTGGTGTGCAACCTTTGCATTTAAATGGTCCTTCAGAACATTCCTTCATAGTGACTCATCCACGCTTGGCAGCTTCAGTGTAAAGAGCCAATATCTGATCAACTGTCATGAGGTATTTGCCGGTGGAATTCGTGACCTTGACAGCAGTTGAGGATGAGTACTCGAGAGCAATGCTAAGTAAGCAACCAGGCAAAGGCTCCAGGCAGTCAGTTCCAAATTGGAGGTTTGATTTCAGGTTCCGACTGACTGCTCTCTTTCTCCTTGTCCTGCAGGTGTGGACAAGGACAAAGACAAAGACAGGGAGAAAGCATGATATGGGATACTCTTGCTTTCGACCCTGATGATATGAGATACTCTTGTTCTTGGTGTGGCTTATTTGCTGAGGTATTATCGGGGGGAAATAAAGCTGAGTATTTCGAGAGGTTATGTTGAGGGTGCCTTTTCGAATGCGAGAAAGGGTTGAGCATTTTTGCAGGTTTGCCTGTCCGTTGAGGAGGGAGGTCAATGTATATAGGGATTTCCCAATAACAAGTAGTAATGCTATTCCTTTACCCTTCTTGGTCACAGCAATGTAGTGGGAGCTGCCAGCTTCACGTGTTTTAATTTTGTCAGAGCACTTTGAAAAAGTGGTATGTGGTATCTGGAAAGCTGATGTTACGTGTGAAGATTACAGACAAGCTTTATCTAAGGAAATCTGGCTCTCGAAGTTCTGAGAGTTGTGCCTCTTCGGTTTTCGAACAAGCAATCCCGTCGAGGATCTGACTCTCGAGATTCGGAAAGCGGTGCTACTCCGGTTTTTTGAGAAAGTAATTATGTTGGGAGTCTTTTCTCGAATGTGAGTAAAGGTTGGACGTTCTTGCCAACCTGTCTTGCCGCAAAACACGGAGGTCGACACACATAGGGACTTTCCAGTTGTCAAGCAGTGGTGCTGTTCCTTTACCCTTATGGGTAATAGTAGGGTAGCTGGAACTTCGAAATTCTCGTGCCTAAACTTTGTCAGAGATCTTTGACAAAGTTATATGTGGTACCCGAGGAGTTGATGGTGCATATGGAGAGCGGTGATTGAACAGTAAGATTCACGTGCTTTCTACTTCACCAGAAATCTTCGACAGATTGCCCGTAATTTCCGCAAAGCTGATTGTGCATGTGACAGGTGCTGACGAGGCTGAAAAAGCAGGTGCTTCTTCGATTTCTGAGATCGGCCCTCGTGGTCTCTGAGCAGCCCAGCTTTTGAGAAAGCAAACGCCTCTTCGATTTCTGAAGCTCCGTCGAGTGCAGATTTTTATAGAGGCTGGCATTAAGTTCCACAGCACACTTGAATCTCTACCAGTAGAAGCTCATTTCTTGCACTTCTAAGATCTTGATTTGTCTGACCTCTTCCTTCTTCAACACATTTGAAAATGTCTGGACCCTCCGACCGTCGTTTTGACTTGAACCTTGGAGAAGAGACAGCCACGCCTTCTCCAGACAACATATGGCGCCCATCCTTCATATCCCCTACTGGTCCTCTTACCGTTGGGGATTCTGTGATGAAGAATGATATGACCGCTGCAGTGGTGGCCAGGAACCTTCTCACTCCCAAAGATAACAGACTACTTTCCAAACGGTCTGATGAGTTGGCTGTTAAGGACTCTCTGGCTCTTAGTGTTCAGTGTGCAGGTTCTGTGTCTAATATGGCCCAACGCCTATTTGCTAGAACCCGCCAAGTTGAATCATTGGCTGCTGAAGTGATGAGTCTCAAACAGGAGATTAGAGGGCTCAAGCATGAGAATAAGCAGTTGCACCGGCTCGCCCATGACTATGCTACAAACATGAAGAGGAAGCTTGACCAGATGAAGGAATCTGATGGTAAGGTTTTACTTGATCATCAGCGGTTTGTGGGTTTGTTCCAAAGGCATTTATTGCCTTCGTCCTCTGGGGCTGTACCTGGTAATGAAGCTTCAAATGATGAACCTCCAATGCCTCCTCCTTCTGGGGTTTTGTCAAGTACTGAGGCTCCGGATAACCACCCTCCGGTGCTTTCTCTTTCTGGGGCTCTACCGACTGCTGAGACTTCCCCTAAGCAACCTTTGTGAAGGCTCCCTTTTGTTTGTTTATTTTGACTCATGTATATGTACATATTTGTGGCTTATCGAAAATATTAATAAATAAGCTTTGCTTCATTTCAACATATTGTGTTAAATACACCAAAGCCTTCTTCATAAAGTTCTTTGAATTTTTGCTTTTGTTGAAACCTGTATTGTTGAAGCTTTGTGAGTGAAGCATGTAGTTTGAGGTAGTGTTCCCTTAATTTCCCGAGTGAGGAAAACTTCTCGGTTGGAGACTTGAAAAATCCAAGTCACTGAGTGGTTGTGAGACTTGCCGAGTATCAAGGTGCAGTAGCATATGGTGGGAGTCCCCCAAGTCTTCAGGCGAAGAGAGTTGCCGAATGAGGTGTCTTGCTATAGTCAATTGTCAAATGTGTTTAGGCCCAAAGAAGTGGAGGCCTAGGCCCTTTTTTTTTTTTTTTTTTTTTTTTTTTTTTTTTTTTTTTAATTTTTACTCCCTCCCTTTTTTCTTTGGAATGTTTGTACAGATATCTATAATGTGGCCTTTTGTCATGATTTGGAGGATGGGTGTATTTCGAATCCAATGAGGGGATAGGGTATGACTCATTAATCATGTGCCATGATTTTGAAACTTCCTTTATGCTTTTCTTTTGGAATTGCTTTTCATTTTTCCCTTTAAGTCTGCCTTTAGTTTTTTCAATATAACACCATTTTCTGTAGCTCAGATCGCAAAAACGTTGTCTTCATGAAAGTTGTTCCTTAATTCTTGTGAACTACAACATATCCAAATTTGGAGATCCATCGGAGCAGTACAACTCCAGAAATTCAGGTATGATGAGTGACTGTTCATCATTTTGTCTGTCAACCGTCAGACTTGTTGTGAGCTTCAAAAACTCCATTTTCTCTTGCTCAGATCAACATACTTTCTTCATTCGAAGTTGTTCCTTCAGCTTGTGAACTACAACATATCCAAATTTGAGATCCCTCGGAGCTGTATAACTCAAGAAATTCAGGTATGATGAATGACTGGTTATTATTTTTTCTGTCAACCCGTCAGATTTGTTGTGAGCTTCGAAACTCCATTTTCTATTGTTCAGATCAGCATGCTTTCTTCATTGAAGTTGTTCCTCATCGTCTCTTTCATAACATATCAAAAATTCAGAATGAACTAATGGTTAAATATTTCCAGATCTTCGAAACATCACAGCAGCTTCGAAATCTGCAAGAATCCGACTGTCATGCTTGGAGCTTCAACACTTTAATTTCCGTCGCTCAAACAGAAATGGTTCCTTCTTGAAAGTTGTTCATCTGCTCAAGAACTAGAGGGTGTCCAAAATTCAGCTCCATTGGAGAAGAGCAGCAGGTTGCAAAATTTGATAGATGAAAGGAGGCGGAAGAGGGAGAGAGAGAAAAAGTCTCTTGGGTTGGATTTCTATTTTGGGGAAGATTCCAATTTTTGTAGCAACTTCAGTACTGGTGAATTGCTTGTATTTTTGTCCATTAACTAAATTTTGGGACTTTGAATTATTGTTGATCTATTATAATATGTTTGGGAACATATATAAGTGAATAAATAAGAAGGAAGATTTTGGGCCCTTGTGGGTGTAAAACAAAAAAATGTTTATGTTTACCCAAGTGTTTTTTTGTACAAGTTCAAGGGCATCTTGGGTTTTGTGAACAAAATTTGTTTATTTGGAGCAAGGTTTTGTGTTGAAGCTTTGTAGGTGAAGCTTTGGTGTTGAAGCTTTCTAGGTGAAGCTTTGATGGTGAAGCTTTGTAGATGAAGCTTTGTAGATGAAGCTTTCTAGGTGAAGCTTTCTAGGTGAAGCTTTGATGGTGAAAGTATGTAGAGGGAGCTTTCTAGGTGAAGCTTTTTTAGGTGAAGCTTTGTAGGTGAAGCTTTTTTAAGTGAAGCTTTTCGGGTGAAGTTTTTTGGGTGAAGCTTTGTGGGTGAAGCTTTTTAGGTGAAGCTTTGTGGGTGAAGCTTTTTTAGGTGAAGCTTTTTGGAGGTGAAGTTTTTTTTTTTTTTGGGTGAAGCTTTTTTTAGGTGAAGCTTTTTTGGTGAAAGCTTTTTTGGTGAAGCTTTTTGGGTGAAGTTTTGGAGGTGAAGCTTTTTCGGGTGAAGCTTTTTGGATGAAGCTGTTTTTTTTTTTTTTTTTTTTTTTTTTTTTTGGCGCTTGACACGGTCTTCATTTGCTTGTTTTGTAGTGACTGTGGAAGACGGATTGCTTTCTGATTGAGAAGGGTTCCGGCATCGCTTTGCACCATCTTCATGTGGGTAATATAGGAACTTCCTTATGTTTTGATCATGCATGTAGTGATAGAATTTGTTTCTTCTTATTGTAGATGTCAGAGCCTGGAAGTTCTAGTGATGAGGGCTCTTCTAGCTTTAGCTCTAAGTCTGAGTCTGCAATGTCGGAGTCTTCAGGGTCTTTGTTAGAGTCCTGTACTAGAGAAACATTGGATGATCTTCCCAACCGTCAAACTTTAGCTATTGCTAGTTCTTCCTCCATGGCGTTGGGTGAGGGGGTTGTTTTTGATGCCATACCCATAGTTCGCTCTGAGTTCACAGCAGACCATCTAAAGAATAACTTGTTAGATAATGAGAAGCAGGTTGAGGCGCTAAGGCAGTCATGTAATATCCCTCGTAGTGTAGGGATACGTTTGGTACATGATGAAGAATGGCCTTCTGAGCCTCCCCAGGGTCATGTTATGTTCTACACCCAGATATTACTGACTTTAGGGGTGAGACTACCTTTACATCCGTGGTTGCAAAAGATGTTATCTTTGATCGGATATGCACCTGGGCAACTCAATCCTGGTTTCTGGGATACTTTGATTGGATTTTATATCATTTGGATGGAGTGTGGGTTGTGTGAGCCTTCCTTCCATCAGTGGCGTTACTGTTACAAGATGCGCCCAGCAAAATCATGCACTGGTTATGCCGAGTGTGCATGTCGGAGTGAGAGAGAGCGTATTGTGTATGGTAAGAAAAAGGCATACTACACATGGAAAAACCGTTGGTGCTTTCTGTATAATGATTGGGAGTATGATAAGGGTGTCACGCCTGAGCGACGTGTGCTTACTCACTTCCAGACTGTAGGTTGTAACGTATCAACCGTTCGTACTATTTGCTATTTGTTGTGGTCTTTTCTTGCTTCTAACACTTTGCTTCATGTAGTGACGCGGGGCACCATCCAAACTGTTTGGGCAGGAGCTATCTGACATAGAGAAGGTGTTGAGGGTGCCCAAAGAGGATAGACACTTAAGCAAGCTACGACCCTTATTTCGTCGGTACGGTTTCCAACCCTTAGTTTCCGAGAGCCAGGGACGATCGAGTAAGTTGTATCCTTCATGTAAACTTTTGCTCTTTTCCTTACTTTATTTGGAAAGTTGTATTTCTTATTTTGATTTTCCTTATGCAGTGGAGAAGGTAAGCAAGAAAACAGGGACTAGCACCCAATAAAAGGAAAGCACCAGTGTTAGTTCCTTCGGAAGACATCCTACCGCATAAGAAAATTCATAAGTTCCGAGGGGAACCATCCGTTAGACCTAAGTCCCAAGATGGGGTCCTTAAGGGGCCTGCCTTTAGGAAGACTGGAGTCGAGGCCGTTGAAAATGCTGCTGCCGTAGTTGCAGGAGAAGGGAGCCGACTGTTGCCTCCTCCTCTTACTATGGAGCACACTGTCCAGGAAAGTGATCCTGGTTCCCGCCATGAGGGGAAAGGCAAGGAAAGAGCTGGCAGTGTCCCGTGGAAGGACTTGAGGGTTGCCACGCGGCCAAAGGATTTTGGGGATATCAACAATTGCTTGGCAGGGCGTCGATTCGCCTTCGATGAGCTCGGAGAGCCCTTAGCTAAGGATGAATCGGATTGCGACCGGATGTTGAAGCTGTCTTCATATGTGAGTGTTACTTTGTCATTTCCTTACTTTTTCCTCTTTATTATCATTATTTAGGTAGTGATGATCGTCTTGCCATGCAGGTCATGGCCGAGTATCACGACAGACTGCAAGAGGTTGAGCGGTACAAGGCAAAACTGAAGGAGAATAAGCAGCTTGTGGACGAGGCCCGAAGGAATAAGGGACTTTTGACTCAGGCTCTCCAACTGAAGGACGAAACCATGGAGAGCTTGAAAAGGCGAAATGGTGAGAACCTAAGGCTTAAGAAATTGTTTGAGGCAACTAAAAAACAGTTGGAGGTGGCTACCTTGGAGGTATCCAAGGTTAGGGGAGAATTGGATGGTGCCTTAGTTGAGATTTCTGAACTGGAGAAGAGCATTCCAACTGAAAGGGAGGCTGCTGTGCAAGAATACTTAAGTTCTTCGACCTTTCATCTTGCTATTAAACCCTACTGTGCTCAAGAAGCTCGCTTTGAAAAAAGGAAATGGATGGCCGTCCTTGATCGTTATGATGATGGGAGCATTCTTCGAAAATACCACGAAGATATAGATGAGCATCATCGAAAGGGCGAGACATTTGTCCTTGCTGTTGATCCTAGCAGCGAAGATGAGTCTGATAATGAAGGTAGTGCTGATGCACAGACTCAGCATGGTGAAGAGGATCTTGGGGATGCAGAGGATGATGGTAGGACGCGGAGTGATACTGCCAGGGGTTCGGCTTCAGATGAGAATGAATAGCAGTGTCTTTACTATCTGCATGTATTCTGGATGTAGTAGTCTGATGTGTGTATAACATGTGCCCATGTTATAAGCTTGAGAGTTTTGGATTTTAGGTGTTTATGAGTGTTTGCACTATTATTAATGCATGTTTGGCTATGTATGAATAGATCTATTGTTTGGATATAAGCCATTGTTTGGTTGTTCCTTTCTTTGTATAGTCTTGTCGACACATACTTAGATTTTGTTTCGTGTTGGATATATCTGCTTTGAGGTTTCAACACTTGAGTGTTCCATTGCTAGGAATGTAAAAGAGTGAGGGCTGAGTTGGCTAAATTACCTCTTTATTGAATTCATTGCCAAATGGCCTTCATTACATAGGATGCCGAACGGCTATAGCTCAACACTTGTACATCGTGAGTCTATTTGTAGTAGTACTTCAAGTGATCAGCGTTCCATGGATGGCCAAGGGTCTTGCCATCGGAGCTTCTAAGTGTGTAAGAGCCAGGGCGACTGATGCCAATGACTTCATACGGTCCATCCCAGTTTGGACTAAGTGTGCCTTCACTCGGGACTCTGTCGCAGAGTAATCTTTTCTTTAAGACCCAGTCTCCTATTTTGAAAGAACGAGGCTTGACCCTAGAGTCATAATAGTTGGAGATGCGCTGCTTGTAGGCGACATTCCTCAAGTGAGCTTGGTTTCTGTGTTCCTCGACTAAATCCAAGTTGAGGGTGAGTTGTTTGTCATTTTCACTTTGAATGTAGTTCTGGACTCGGAATGTTGCTTGCTCGAGCTCAACAGGGACAACCGCCTCTGTGCCAAAGGCAAGTGAGAATGGAGTTTCTCCTGTTGAAGTCCGATATGAAGTGCGATATGACCAAAGAACTTGGGGTACAAATTCTGGCCAACAGCCTTTAGCTTTGTCCAAGCTGGTTTTCAAAGTGCGCTTGATTATTTTGTTGATGGCCTCAACTTGTCCATTAGACTGGGGATGAGCTGGAGAGGCAAAGCATAAGTTGATGTTGAACTTAGAGCAGAACAACCTGAACTTCTTGTTGTCAAACTGTCGCCCATTGTCAGTGACTATCGCATTGGGAATGCCGAATCTACAAAGGATGTTCTTCCACACGAAGTCTTCTATCTTTGCCTCAGTAATGGTTGCCAAGGGTTCTACTTCGGCCCACTTTGTGAAGTAGTCCACTGCAACGACTGCGTAACAGACTTTGCCCTTCCCTGCCGGCATTGGGCCGATCAAATCAAGTCCCCACTGGGCGAAGGGCCAAGGGCTGATCATAGGAGTAAGAGGCTCTGGAGGGGAATGAGGAATAGTTGCATATCGTTGACATTTGTCACATGAGCGGGATACTTTGATGGCATCCTGGTGGAGTGTTGGCCAGTAATATCCTTGGCGAAAAGTCTTGTGTGCTAGGGACCGAGATCCAGCATGATCTCCACAGACTCCCTCATGTATTTCCCGAAGGACGATTTCCGCCTCGGCAGGCGTAAGACACCTTAAGTATGGCAGGCTAAAACCTCGCTTATAGAGTTGATCATTGATGATCAGGTAGCGGGTAGACTTGTATCGAATTTGCTTAGCCTGGACTTTATCATTTGGGAGGGTGCCATGAGCAAGGAAATTATAGATCGGGGTGATCCAACTATCCCCCTGTTGTAAGTTGCATACTTCTGCGGCCATGGTGCTTGGTGTTGCCAACAGTTCGACATGAATTTTTTCTTCCAATCTTGTCTTCCACAGCTGAGGCGAGGCGAGCCAGGGCGTCTGCATGACTGTTTGCCGCTCGAGGAACTTGGGTGATCTGGTAGTGGAAGTGCTTGAGCAAAAGTTGTGTTTGCGCAAGATATGCTGCCATGGAGCTGTCCTTAGCATCAAAGTTGTTGGTAACCTGGTTGACCACTAATTGGGAGTCACTGAAAATATCAATTTGTTTAACCCCGAGGTGTTTGGCCAAACGTAATCCTGCTAGAAGGGCTTCATACTCGGCCTCATTGTTTGATGCCTTGAATTTGAAACGAAGAGCATACTCCATTGCTACTTTGTCGGGCGTAGTCAAGACTAGTCCCGCTCCACAGCCCTGTTGGTTGGATGAGCCATCAACATACAGACTCCATGCTGAGGTCGTTGATTCTACTTTCTGAGCTTCCGATGGTAATGAAGCTACTGCTTCAGGTGTAGAAGCAATGTCAACAGGATATGTGAAGTCGGCGATGAAATCTGCTACTGCTTGACCTTTTTCGGCTGGTTTTGGTTGGTAGGAGATGTCAAACTCACCCAATGCTATCGCCCATTTGATCATTCGTCCAGACGTGTCAGGACTCTGGAGTATCTGTCGAAGAGGGTGATTGGTAAGCACGATGATGGCGTGTGCTTGGAAATAAGGGCGAAGTTTCCGAGCAGACATGACCAATGCTAGAGCTAATTTCTCAATGTTGGAGTATCGTGTCTCCGCATCTTGTAGGGCCTTGCTAGCGTAGTAGACGGGGCCGTTCGACACCACTGTCCATTCGAATAAGAACAGAACTGACTGCTGAAGCCGAAACCGATAGATAGATGATGAGAGTGTCACCAACTTCTGGTTTGGAGAGCAGAGGGGCTTTACTCATGTACTCTTTGAGGTTCCTGAATGCCTTGGCACATTCCTCCGTCCATGTAATGTACTTCTTATTTCCCTTGAGTGCTTTGAAGAAAGGAGCACATCTGTCTGTGGCCTTAGAGATGAATCTGGTTAAGGCTGCCACCTTGCCAGTAAGGCTTTGGATGTCTTTTGAAGTTATTGGCTCTCTTTCATGTCGAGGATTGCTTTGATCTTTTCAGGGTTAGCTTCAATGCCTCGTTGGCTAATCATGAAGCCTAAGAATTTGCCAGAGCCCACGCCGAAGGCACATTTGTTGGGGTTCAACCTCATTCGATACCTCTTTAGAATGGTGAAAGTTTCAGATAGGTTGGTGATGTGTTGGTCAGCATGTTTGCTTCTTGACTAGCATATCATCAACGTAAACTTCCATGTCTCTTCCCAATCTGTTCGGCGAACATTGAATTGACCAGTCTCTGATAAGTTGCTCCTGCATTCTTTAGGCCGAAAGGCATGACTTTTATAGCAATATAGTCCCCTGTCAGTAGTGAAGGCCGTGTGTTCTTGGTCTGAGGGGTTCATGAGGATTTGGTTGTATCCTGAATAAGCGTCCATGAAAGCTCAAGAGCTCACACCCTGCCGTAGAGTCTATAAGTCTGTCAATAAGAGGAAGAGGGAAACTATCTTTCGGACACCCTTTGTTTAGGTCGGTGTAGTCAACACACATTCTCCACAAGACCTTTTGAAGCAAAAGACTTTCTTTGGTCGGATTTTTCCTTAACAAGGACCACATTTGCTACCCATGTCGGGTAATTGACTTCGCGGACAAAGCCTATGCCTTTGAGTTTTTCAACTTCTGCTTTCATTGCCTCGTATCGTTCAGCGTCATAAGATCTTCGCTTCTGTCTCACCGGCTTGATCTTGGGGTCAATACTCAAACGATGACAGATGACATCGGGAGAGATGCCTGGCATGTCCTCGTATGACCAGGCGAAGACTTCAGTGTTCTCTTTCAAAAAAGATATCAATGCTAACCGAAGGGGTGGTGACAATGTGGTGCCAATCTTCACCATGCGGTCTGGATAATCTCTTGAGATAGGTACCTTCTCCAACTCTTCAGCAGGTTGGGCTTGCTGGGTGAAAGAGTCATCTCGAGGATCATCGGGTTGATTGTTGCTATCAGGAAGATCCAAGTTCGCTTCATCTAGGCTGGTCTTTGTGACTTGGTCATGTACAGACAGGGTTTCCTTGGGTCCGGGCAAGTGTTGTTGCTTAACTGAAGTGTTGTAACATGATCGTGCACTAAGCTGATCTCCTCTGATGTAGCCGTTGCCATGGGGGGTTGGAAATTTCATCAACAGCATATGCGTGGATACCATAGCCTTGAGATCATTGATGCCTGTGCGCCCAAAGATGACATTGTATGCCGTTGGGCAGTCAACCACTAGGAAGTTAGTGGTAATGGTAGCCGTGTAAGGGCCTGTACCAATAGTAAAGGGTAAATGTATGCTCCCTAAGGGTTGCACGATATCACCGGAGAAGCTTATCAGAGGAGAAATCGAGCGATCGAGCAAGTGTTCAGCTACACTGAGTGCCCTGAAAGCTTCGGCAAACATGATATTGACCGAAGCCCCTGTGTCTACGAGGATTCGTCGAACATCAAAGTTGGCTATGTGAGCCTCCACGATCAATGGGTCGTTATGAGGGTAGATGATGCCTCTTTCTTCCTCAGGGTAGAAACATATCGGATCCCAGTTAGGCTTTTGATACTTCCCTCCCCTGATGTCTTCCACGTGAAACACTTGGTGACCAGGCCTCAGAATTCGTTCACTGTTTTTCATGGCCCTATTGGAAGATTCAGATATGGGTGTGCCGCCGCTTATGGAATATATGACATTCACCTGGCGTTGGTTACGGTTATCCCTTTGAGGGTGAAGAAGGAATTGATCAATTTTTCCTTCTCGTGCCAAAGCTTCAATACGATCACGGAGGATGATACATTTCTCGCTATCATGGCCGTTATGCTCATGGTAGCAACAAAACATGCCCGCGTTATTCGGGGGCGTGTAATCTGGGTGCCTCGGCTTTGGCTTTGGTATCAGGTGAGCTATGCTGGGGTAAATGGCCGCGCATGTGGCATTCAAGGGCGTGTATGTCTCATACCTTGGGGTAGGGGGTATCTTGACGCGGGTTTGACCCACTGCATTGACTGCCTGGGGGCGAGCGTTATTGTGGCGATACCCTTGGTTATCGGGATAGTGTCCCTTACTCTTTTTACTGAAAGGAGAGTGGTGAGGATGGAAATCCTTCCTCTTGCCTTGAAATTGATATGTCTGTTGATTCGGTGAAGCATTATGCAAGGCATGGGGAGGTGCCACTGCTGTTTGGAAAGTCGAGGTCTTCTCATTTAGGTGAGTCTGGCTTCCACCTCCCACTTGTTGATAAAGGATGGTTGTAGGGGGTTTCTCCTGATATGTCTTTGCCTCGGCGGAGGCATGGTTATAAGCCTGCGCCATCACCTCAGAGTAAGTCTTCCAAGTATTGGCATTGATCATGTATTTAAAGAAACAATCACGTAGGCCTGCCGTGAAGGCTTTGAGGGCAGTCTTGTCGTCTGCCTCGGCACACCGGGAGTATTCATGGCTGAAGCGGCCAGCATACATACGTAATGACTCGTCTGGCTTCTGGCGGATAGTGTACAAGTCATCTGCAGAGTGCAAGCGATCGGTTTGGAAAATGTGTTGGGAAACAAATAGTTTCCTCAATTCCTCAAATGAGTCTACCGTCTCAGGTGTAAGACGACAATACCAATTTAGAGCTCCACAGAGAGGGTGGAGGGGAAGAGAAGACATCGCTCTTCGTCGGTGTGCATCCGGTATGCCATGGTGGACTCAAAGAGGTTAAGGTGCTCAATCGGGTCCTCTTTTCCAGTATAAAGTTGCAAGCCAAGCTTTTGCTTTGTCTTTGCTTGAAGGGGGGTGTTGAGGATCCTCCTTGTAAGAGGGCCAGGCCTGGGTTGGTTCCAGTCAGGTATTTCAGCCTGACGTTCAGCCTTCAACTTGTTTACTTCCTCAAGAAGTTGTAGGACAAGGGGGTCCTGAGCGGAGTTATGTGTCACTGGAGCTTTCTTTCGTAAATCTCCATCTCCTCTTGGAATTAGGAAGGTTTGATCAAGGGCATGTGATTTTTCCCTGGACTCGCTGTACTGGCTTCCAGGGTATGTCTGTCGGAACACCTCTGAGTCCCCTGTACCCTCATGTCTCTCTAGGACTTGTTGCCCCTTCCCCAAATTGGTGGCCGGCTTGGGCCGTGGCAGGGGACCGAGTCTCTCAGAAATCCTTGGGTCATTAATCTTTGAGCTTATATGGATGGAATTCTCTCGACGTTGCTTCAGGAAATCCCGACAATCGCGAAAGACGGCTTTCGATCCTTCTGCCCCTTCAGCAAAGAGGTGTCTCCCTCCACTTCTCATGGTTCGGGTCGAAGCAACTGGGTTAAGAGAAGCCTCATGTTGATTATCAAGTCGAGGGGTAATCTGTTCCCTATCAGGGATATCTATGTCGAATGCATGTGACCCTCCATGTTGGAGGGCACCCAGTTGATGGTTGACTTCCACGGGGGCAACAAGCTCGCGTGTCTGAGCTTGCCTAGCTTCGTGGAGTGTCTCGAAGAGCTTCTCATATTGCTCCTGGAGGACCTCATTCCTCATTGCTATCTTGTTGTTCTGAGCTTCCAACTCATCGACTTTAGCTTGAAGAAGAACTCGTTTTCCTTCCTTCTTTCGTTGTTTCGCACTATGTGCAAGGGGGGTGTCATTCTGTGTGCTGTGGCTTCCTTCGCTTCCCATGTTGGAGAGGGATGCCTGATCAAAAGAAAGTGTACGAATGATAGAAACCAGCTTGACACAGCTGAAGAGAGTAGGAATAAGTGTCGTTTCCCACAGACGGCGCCAAATGTTGATGCACAAAATCAGCGAAGACTTTGGTACAACAGAAAGTGTCAGGTTTTGTGACCTTCGCTTGGTTGCTTCGGTCACTAGTGAGGATAAGTACGTAAATGAATAGAGACAGAGAAGCAAACACAGGATGTACGTGGTTCACCCAGATTGGCTACGTCCACGGAGTAGAGGAGTTCTTATTAGTAGTGAAGGGCTTACACAAGTACAAAGGATCAAGCTCTCAATTTAGTGAGTTCTTGTGAATGATTTAACACAAAATGGCATTAGGCAATATTGTGGGGGAATGACCCCTATTTATAGAAAAACTTGTAGCTTTGTCACATTGACATGTGTCATGTTATGATTGGTTCTTGATGTCGACACGTGCTGCGCTCTGATTGGCTTCTAATCTTGACACGTGTCGAGTAGTGATTGGCCTCCTGGTCGGAGGGGAACTCTTCTGGGTCCTTGACAGTATAGCGTTGGCCGGTGCTCGGTAGTTTCGGGATTGGTCAAGTATGGTACAAACAAATCCAACAACTAAAAATACTTATTCAAATTGGTTTTTGTTTTAGCATTATCCCACCACGTCAAACCGAAACAAACCAAACCAAGCTAATTATAATTTGATTTAGTTCAATCTAAGATTGATTGCACCTTTTCATTATAACAGTCAAACTAAACTACTTTAATTGGTTTTTATACAACGATACATATACATTAAAGATGGGGGTATAAATTTGTATTGAACATGCCATTTATGAGATTTAAACTTAAAATCTTTCATTTTTCTCTAAAAAATTGATATTATCTACGCTAAGGGAAGGGGGTGGGGTGGGTTTAGCCTCACAATGGGCTAGCAATAATGTGGTTCAAATTCACCTTTAGCTAAAATTGAGCCTAAAATCTCACTTACCAATAAAGATAAATACTATTAAATCGTAGTACAAAGTGATAAAACCTCACACTTATAAATAAAGAAAACTACCAATAGACGTTAATTTTGGTCCATTGGCCCTCATTCTCATAAAAGAGAAACCAATACCCCCTAAGACATTCGTTTGAAAAAAAAAAAAAAAGGAAAACCACCTACGACGCCGTTTCATGACCTATTTGGGAGTCTGGGACTGTACCGTACATTTGACGTTTCTGTTGCAAAATTCAGAAAACCCCCAAAATCAAACTACGCGGCAAACTGGCACCAAAAATATGGAGGGGACGCCGCAATCGAAACCCTAAGAACCAGAGGGTGGTGCTTCGGCGACCTCGAACAAGTGGAGGAGAAGATCCTGATCTACCCAGCCTTGTCCGACGACACGCGTACGGTAGTGAACTCAGTGGAAGCCGAGCTCACCAACATGAACCTTAAATCCATCTCCGCCAGGTCCATGCCCGACCCGCATACGCTCCTAAGGTCCTCTCACCTCCTCCAGGTAAATCACACCTCTCTGTGTTTCTCGTTAATTTTTTCTTTGGTTGCTGAGAAAATAGATAAAGAGAAAGAAAAATGTGGTCTTTCCTTTGTGTTTTGTTATCAAATGGCTTGGGTAAGGGACGTTGCTAAAAGCAGTATGGAGGATTTTTCGAGGAATTTGAGTCGTCGGCGGCTTTTGATGCCTGACGATCCCTGACGACGGCCACAGCTGTGGAGTACTCTCATACCCCGGCAATCCCTGACGACGTCGTTCCTGGAACTAAGGTACTTTCTGCTTCTTGATGCCTTCTCAATGCTCAGCTTGTGTTTTATATTTAATAAGCTAGAGATATCTTTGATTGTTCACTTTTTGGATTTTGTATATGTTCAGTTTAGTATTCAAACTGGTACAAAATTGAGCTAGATTATGAAAAACAACGGAAACCACACTTTCGTAGAACTTAGTGATGAACACTGTGTGCTCCGTCTTCGTTTATGCAATCTTGAAGTGAATCCACATCCAGTAGGAAAATTAATAATTTCGTTTATTTTGTATCCCATATGGGACATTAGCTCAACACTGCACTGGAAGACCCCGACAAAGTTTTTAATTTTGACAATTATTATGAGTACTTTTTTCATGAAACTCAATGAATTTCACAAGAAGTTTTATGGGTCTCTCTAGTCCCACTTTCTTAAGTGATTCAGGGAAAACAGGTGCATAGATAAAGGTCGTATTTTGAGTTAACTGAACATCTTTTGTTTGTCCTACTTTTTGATCGGCAGGTCTGTTTGGAAGGTAAAGTTACTGTACGTAACGGAATAGTTTGTTTGAGTCCTAAAGTTGTGACTGTGTTGGGAGGTGTTGTTCAATCACTTAACGAAGAATGGCAGATGAATACAAAATATTCCGAGTTTTCACATTCATCTTTAAGGATTTCACAGGAAAGTGATGGTAACGGCCCCTCTCCATTTGAGAAGTTGCAAGTTGGGGCAGCTAAAAGTCGGTTTCCTGAGCAGGACAAGTTTTCACATCAGTATTCTTGAGCTATTGATTTCATAATATTAGTTTATGTCTTTTAACATAATGTTAAACCACTCATTATTGCTATTGCATGCATATCTCATGGGCAAGATGCAATCATTGGCAGATTACTCTGATGTTAGCTCCAAGAGTACTGAGCCTATTGCCAGAATTATTGAGGGTAGACCAGTTGGAAGACGGTGGAATCTTCAATTGAAAGCAAATGATGAGGATAAATTTTATAAAAAAAGTGAGACAGGTAACACTCGTAAGGCAGATTCCTTTGATGAAAGAACTCAAGACAAAAGAAGGTGGATTTAAATTTGTGTCCAACTTGTAGCTTGTTATTAAATTTTACTATTAACCTATGCAGCATCCGGGTTTTGTGTAGTATTAAGCTTAATTTTATGTCATCTAGTTGTGGGGAAGGGGTCGAGAAGCGACCGGTGTTTTTACACTTCGATTTGTTCACTAATTATTTCTACTGGTGCGTATATAGTTGTAGAAGTTTTGTCTGTATCAACGTCAACAATCATGTAAAATGGAATTATACTTGAATCACCCAAGAAACACATTTAGTTAACTTATTTATTATAAATGTTCTACATTTTTTAATTCGTAATTTAATGATGATGTATTATGGATTCCACAAAAATTGAAGCTGTCCCTGTTCAAAACCCAGCGGCCGCACAAAAGCTTCTTAAAAAAAATGAGACATCAAAACCGGGATGACATGCATTCAAGAGGCAGACCGTTTGGGGGAAAGAGGATTGCTTGATTTTGTCATTTCTTTTGTTCTCATCACACTTTACTCTGTTTGGTAATTTTTGTTCTTGAGATGAATATGGTGATGGTGAAACCGTAGCTTCCAATCTTTGAATTTTGGTGGTTTAGCTACATTTGCACTGATTTGCTGAACAAGAGTTTTGTCTCGTTATGTTGTAATTATAGATGTTCCCTTTGTAAGTCAGATAGAAATTGTTACGCCAACAAAGATCTCTCTCTCTTTTTTTTTTCTTTTTTTCTTTTTTCAATCGAAATCCTACAAAGATATCAAAGCTATATTTGATGATTTCTTGTTTTATTTTTATTTATTTTTTAACTTTGTGACATCTTAATTTGATGGTGTTTACAGAAGGGCACAACATGGGCTGGGGTTTGATCTTAACAGGAACAGCTCTATGATGTTACAAACAACTTCCGTCTGCAGTTTTGGAGAATCAACAGGACTATTTTTTGATTGTGCAAACGCGTTCATCGACTTCAAAGGTAGTAGAAAGGTAATAGATCTTCTACTAAAATGTAGAGTCAATTTTCTGCTAACATGTCAGGGCAAGTCAAGATAATGAAAACGTAGTAGAAACTACATATTGACTGGCATCTTGAGTATTTGTCAAATATTTGGATGAATGTCTTATATTGATTGTTGTATTGTTGAAATGTTTTTTAGATGCAATATTTCTTCAAAATTCAAAACAACTACTTGTTGAAAAAATCGTAGGAATCTAAAGAAGTATGAAATAAGGACTTGTCTTCATTATCGAACCAGTAAAATGAAAAATGAAAGAGGCGTTTGATGAACTGGTTATGACCTTACTCAGATATGTGATGATGACGATGCATCACCGCCTTGATCGTGCTTCACCATAGAATCGATCTGGGTGTGACATAATCAAGACAGATGATGTTTCATTTCTTCTTGCCTTTTCCCATTTCAGTCATCTATGGTAATTCTCATTTGTTTCCTGGGACGATTATTATCAGATGCTTCATGGCTTGGTCCTCCCTCATCATAAAACCGAGTTGGATGTGTGTCAAAAACATATCCAGCTTTGTCCAAATCATGCATATTTTCCTTCATAGGTTTGTCCCATACTAGATTAACCCCTGTTCTCGTTATTGAAATGGCTGGGTTTTCAAAAAGTATATCAACTTCATCCCCACCTTGCAAATTGAGCTTACTGTTCGAGAGTTGTCCCTGCAAAAGATAATCATCTTCATATAGGTCGTCATCATATTCTTGTCTGCCTATGTAGGCTCGCAACTCAATACGCTGGGTATTGTTTATAACAATAATGGCAAGCTGATTGCTTCTGTTTGAGTGGTACAAGCAGAACAGAGTTAACTCTTCTAAATTACGACCATCACTCGGGGGAATATCAAAGGTGACTTTAGTGCCCTCATCGACAAACTCAAACCAATTAGGAACATAGTTTCTATGAAGGAAAATTCCACCAAATCCACAAGAAGTCCATCCCTACATATACAATATAAGTGTCATATATATGCATGTATACACACGATAGGAAGGCAATGAGAGAGAGAGAGAGAGAGAGAGAGAGAGAGAGAGAGAGAGAGAGAGATACCTGTAGGATGTTCTTCCTTAAATGGGTCGAGAGATTGGTGCACTTTTTCATATTAATCCATGTCATGGAGTTTAATGATTTATCCAAGCCTGGAACCTCAATGACTTTGGGTGAATCACTTAAGTTCAGTTCTCTTATATTTGACATTTCTGAAAAATTGGGCATTGTTTCCAATGCAGGGCATCCATTCGCCAACAAAAATTTCAAATTTGTTGGTAAATTTGTGATTGTACGAAGTTGCTCGCAGTGACGTAACCGTAGAGTTTCAAGCTTTGAAAGACCACTGAGACTGGGTAGGGTATGAAAAAATTTCCATGAAAGATCCAAATTTGCCACACCTGATAGGGATAAACGAGTGAGATTCTTCAATCTTACTATGGAAGGTGGTACTTCTCTTATGGCTGTATCATATGCTTCAAGCGTTCTCAGTGATATCATCTCCCCTATATCCTCATGCACTTCTCTGAATTCATAACAATAATTAAGAAGAAGAGTCTCAACAGATTTTGACTTGTAGAAATCCCCTGGAAGAGAAATAAGCTCGTAACATTGTTGAAGGTTCACCAAAGAAAGTCTTTTAAGATGACCAATGGAGGGGTGAATCTCAGACAAACTCCAACAGCTAAACAATATCAACTCTTCAAGATTTGGGACTTGTGAAAAGTCTGGTGATTTCTGTAAGGAATAGGAATGGCTGAGATCAAGGGTTTTCAAGTTATGTAGCGACTGTTGCAGAAAATCAAAAGAAAATTGAAATCAATATCCGAAATGAAGATGTTATAAAAAAAAGAGAAGAAATCCAAAAAACAAATAGGAACAGAACATCATCAGGTGTAATTCATTGTACCTTGGAACCCTCCCAAACTTGTACCAGTTGGCTCACATGCATCTCTAAAACAACTAGTTTATCTTGATTAAAAAAGTCATCTGGTATGGACTTTAAAGAGCATCCTTTCCAACACAGATATTTGTATTCTCCTTTGATCTCTACGTAGCTGATGCGGTCAAGGGATAAACGAGTGAGATTCTTCAATCTTACTATGGAAGGTGGTACTTCTCTTATGTCTGTATGCTCTGCTTCAAGTGTTCTCAGTGATATCATCTCCCCTATATCATCATGCAGTTCTATGAATTCTTCACATCCATTAAGAAGAAGAGTCTCAACAGATTTCGACTTATAGAAATCCCTTGGAAGAGAAATAAGCTTGGAACATAAGCTAAGGTTCACCAAAGAAAGTCTTTTAAGATGACCAATGGAGGGGTGAATCTCGAACAGACTAATGCAGTCTTCCAATATCAACTTTTCAAGATTTGGGACTTGTGTAAAGTCCGGTGATTTCTGTAAGGAATAGGAATGGCTGAGATCAAGGGTTTTCAAGTTATGTAGCGACTGTGAAAATCAAAAGAAAATTGAAATTAATATCCGAAATGAAGATGTTATAAAATATAATAAAAAAAAAGAAAAAAAAAGAGAAGAAATCCAAAAAAACAAATAGAAAGGGAACATCATCATGTGTAATTCGTTGTACCTTGGAACCCTCCCAAATTTGTACCAGTTTGCTACACTGCATCTCTAAGCCAACTAGTCTTGGTTGATTAAAAAAATCATCTGGTATGGACTTTAAAGGGCATCCTTCCCAACACATATATTTGTCTTCTCCTTTGAGCTCTACACTGAAGTGATACTTCGCAACACAGAGATCTAATTCCCTTAAAGAGTTGAAGCCGTGTAACGAATGTGGCAAATGAATACTTTCCACACCTGATAGGGATAAACGAGTGAGATTCTTCAATCCTAATACGAAATGTGGTACTTCTCTTATGGCTGTTTGCTCTGCTTCAAGTGTTCTCAGTGATATCATCTCCCCTATATCCTCATGCAGTTCTATGAATTTTGAACAGTCATTAAGAAGAAGAGTCTCAACAGATTTCAATTTATAGAAATCCCTTGGAAGAGAAATAAGATTGTCGCAGCCTGTGAGGTTCACCAAAGAAAGTCTTTTAAGATGACCAATGGAAGGTGGTACTTCTCTTATGGTTGTATCCTCTGCTTCAAGTGTTCTCAGTGATATCATCTCCCCTATATCCTCATGCAGTTCTATGAATTTTGAACAGTCGTTAAGAAGAAGAGTCTCAACAGATTTCAGTTTATAGAAATCCCTTGGAAGAGAACTAAGCATTCTGCATCCTTTAAGGTTCACCAAAGAAAGTCTTTTAAGATGACCAATGGAAGGTGGTACTTCTCTTATGGCTGTATACTTTGCTTCAAGTGTTCTCAGTGATATCATCTCCCCTATATCCTCATGCAGTTCTCTGAATTTATAACATCTATTAAGAAGAAGTGTCTCAACAGATTTCAATTTATAGAAATCCCTTGGAAGAGAAATAAGCTTATGACAATGGCTAAGGTTCACCAAGGAAAGTCTTTTAAGATGACCAATGGAAGGGTGAATCTCGAACAAACTATCACACCATTGCAGTATCAACTCTTCAAGATTTGGGACTCGTAAAAAGTCCGGTGATTTCTGTAAGTCACAGGAACCGCTGAGATCAAGGGTTTTCAAGTTATGTAGCGACTGTTGCAGAAAATCAAAAGAAAATTGAAATTAATATCCGAAATGAAGATGTTATAAAAAAAAAGAGAAGAAATCCAAAAAACAAATAGAAACAGAACATCATCAGGTGTAATTCATTGTACCTTGGAACCCTCCCAAACTTGTACCAGTTCGCTGTCCCACATCTCTAAAACAACTAGTTTATCTTGACTAAAAAAGTCATCTGGTATGGACTTTAAAGGGCATTCTTCCCAACGCAACCATATTAACTCTTTGGGAAGATGTTTGTATTCTCCTATGAGCTCTACTTCGTTGAGTTGAAGCAATCTCAGTTTTTTCATATTGGCAAATGCTTCTGTACTGATATCAGTGTCATAAGGCCAACGTAGAGCAAGTCCTTCAACTTCTTCAGTTCCCTGTTAACAAAAGGTCATATTCATGTGTAAGAAACCGATCATTTGCATATGTTTACATGTATTCTTATTCATTACACAAAATCACCTACGGCGAATATATGCAAGTACTATTGTTGGCTATTTGAGCTTTCCTTGTGCAACCCCAATTACACATGAATTTTGTTTAAGGTATAATAGACATTACATATATGCTTTTCTTGTACGATTGATTAATCCAAAATTTTACTGGGAATGGACTTACAGATTTATTTGTCAATACATTGATGACCTCTCGATCATCCCACAACCTACTCCATTTTCCAGGGTGACAAGGGGATTTTTCAGAAATGATTACTCTTGCCATTTCTCGAAGCAAGTCATGCATATTCAACTTGTTATGCTCAACAGTTATAAGGCATCGTTCACAAAGGACACTGATTCCTATTGTTGCAGAAAATCCACATCCATCTAATACTTTTGTGACAATGTCCTTGTCCGCTCCAATAAAGAAACAAGATATGTCAAGAAATATAGCCTTCTGTGCATCATCTAGCCCTTCAAAGCTTATTCTTAGGGATTTTATTATTTTTCCTTCAGGAGTTCTTTTCAATTTCTCCAATTGACTTTTCCACTCTGCTATGGGTCTTTTAAACAAAAAAGAACCTAAAACTTCAAGGGCTAGTGGCAAACCTCCACAGTAAGAAACAACTTTTTCTGAGAGTTCAAGATATTCTTCATTAGGCCAATTATTTCCAAAGGCATGCCAACTAAAGAGCTCCAAAGCTTCTAGTTCATTCAATTTCTTAGCCATATATGTCTTATCCACTTGCTTTAGTAAATGTTCATCTCTTGTTGTTATGATAATTCTACTTCCTGGACCAAACCAATCATGATTTCCAACTATTGCATCCAATTGGCCCACTTCATCTATGTTGTCCATGATGACAAGTACCCTTCTATGTCGAAATTGATCTTCTATCAGACCAATACCTTCATCAACACTGCTTATTTCAAACTTCGTTTTTAAGATGTCAGAAATAAGTTTCTTTTGCAAATAAACTAGACCATGTTTACTTGCAGTGTTGCTAACATCAGGCAGAAAACTTTTGAATTGGAACTTATGATGAATTTGATCATAAATGGCTTTGGCAGCTGTTGTTTTACCCAATCCACCCATCCCCCAAATTCCAACCATGACAACATTTGATCCGCCACTTGAAAGATGACTGATAATATCTTGAATACGAGAATTGATACCAACCGGGTGCTTGGCCACTCTTAGTTTGTTTGTGCTCATAAGCCATTTCGTAATAATATTGTCAACAATTTCTCTAATAAGATTTGCTTCGCGCCTGAAAATTGAATTCGTAAACATTATTGGGAATCAATGAAGGCTCAGTAATACATAAACAATTTTCTTTCCTTCTTTCCTTCATATACACAATTTTCTTAACTTGAATAAAAGAACGAAAGCATTCATTAATTAAATTCCAATTAAGGTGTATTAATTAAGCATGCTAATTAAAGTTTAGCTCATGTGAAATGTTAATTAAGCATGTTAATTATATGAGAGATTTAAGTCATTCACTAAAATGTTTCAAATCTTGAAAAGCAGCTGAATGATTACCCATTATCAGTGATATGAAGATGGTGGCCAGACAAGTTTGCAGCTTCTGTAAGAGCCTTTCTCCACTGCTTTACCCTTTCTTGTTTATCTTCACGTTTCTTGCCATCTGTTCCTTCACCGATGCCCTCTTCGTGCTTCAGAAATGCTTCGGCTAAATCTCCATCCTGCTTCCTGACATGTGAAGGATCAACATGATAGAATATTGGCAAAACATGTCGCCCCAGTTTGGATCTGCACTCCATGATCTTCACCAGCTCGTCAAGACACCAACTGGAATCCGCATACCTCTTTGAGAAGACAATGATGGAGATCCTCGACCCTTCGATTGCCCGGAACAGTTCCTCTTTTATTTCTTCCCCTCTTTTTAGATCGTCCTCATCCATATAAGCCTGGTATCCCCTGTCTTTTAATGCCGCGTGGAGGTGGCCTGTGAAGCCGTTGCGCGTGTCTTCACCTCTGAAGCTCAAGAACAAGTCGTAATTCCAAAGTTTTGACTTGGAGGAGGATGAAGAGGAGGCTTCGTGGGCTGTCATGGCGGTATCCATTGTTATGGCACTGTAGTGGTTCAGATCACGACTGAAAAAGTGGCAGCGGTTGTGTTTGTGCGGCCGAACCGATGATACTGAAATTCCTAAACCCTACCGACGCGTCATATGACGGTGGACGGCTAGATTGAAGTTTCGCAAAAGATTCATATATGCGAGAGCCCACTTGTGCGAGTGGAGGACAGGGAGGTGGGCGACAATTGCCCAAAATCACTCGCGCTCAACATTAACGCGCTGCAACATTTAGGATTGCTGCAAAGTGCAGCCCCATCTACGTGGGTGTGTCTAGAACATGTCGGCAATGGGAAAGTGAGCCAAATGGCTCTTTTGGTTTATCAATGGAGGGAATTCAAATGGGTGGTTGGTTATTCAACAATTCGCATTTAATTTAAGTAATGTTTTTAATTTATATTTGTAAATATTGTGAATTTAGCTGTTATGATCGAATATGATTAAATCTAACAATGAAAAGAAAGATATAATAGATAAAATTTAAATCCAACGGTTAAAATAATTTAAAAATATTATTTAATTCAAAATTTACCAAAAAACTCGATAAATACTTATGTATTTGTTCAAATATCCTCACAAAATTTACTTTTCACCTACGATTCTTTCGATTTTTCTTTCTACTATCTTCCAAAACCATGTGTTTTGTTTTTATACATCTCTATCATGTGTTTCATATTCTTCCATAATGTTTCATATGTCAGTTTAGTGTTTTTTCAATGTTTATCAGGATTTAAATATTTTTAAGTTAAAATATTCATAAAATTAATTTATGATAATTCACGTAATTTTTTTTCAAAAAGTTATTTTAAAAAAAATAGCCTAAATTCATTTTTTAATCATCTGATGGTGAAAATTTAACCATGATGACGGGTTGAGTAGAAAAGTTATTTCTGAGTTAAAACCTAAATTTTATTAGCTAAAAGTTTGAGGTTTTAACTCAAAATTAAAGATGATCTTACGAACGCATGCTAGCAACTTTCGCATTTAAATTTCCTCTATTTTTTTATTTTGTTTCTCATTCCACAATGTTGTAAATTAACATGATTTAATTAAACTTTTTTTATTTTTAAGGTCACTCTTTAAACATAAAGTATATTAAAAGTCAACCAAATCTTAAACCGTGTAGTAATAAACAAACCATTTTATTCAATAAACACTAAAACTTTGTCAACTTTAATTAATGGTTAAATTATTTCTCTGGTCATCATATACTCCACTCACGTCCCAATCCAATATTCCACCTTTTGCTTTCTCCTTGCCTTTTGCTAGTAAGTGGCTACTTTATTTCTTCTTCATAATTTTTCTTTTTAAAGGGGTTTAATCCTTCCAGAAGAACTTATTAATTAGTACAACGTGCTTATAAAACTCTTAATGTGCCCATTTTTATGTGAAATTTTTTAGTGTGTCAAAAACACAGTTTGATACACCAAGTGTTATAATACAATTGGTTGATTTTTTTTTTTTCCAAATTTCAAACCAATTGCATTGTAAAATTTTATGTACCAAACCGTATTTTTGACAAACTGACAAATCTTTGCACTCCCATGACCACTAATTAGTATCTAAGAATTCCATTATCTTCCTCTCCATATATATTGTGGTACTGTATATCCTAATAATAACAAGCTAACCATATACAATATTGCACCATTTAACCATATATTAATGTCATCAGAGACAACAACTGATTGGCTTAAATTGAACGTACATCGTAAATAGTTCGACCCTTAACAAAAAATTTCGAAGGGATCAAGCAATCCTACTAGCACATTATAATTCATCAATTCATCAAAGCTAATTAACCTGCATTAAAACATGAAAAAGAAGACTAGTACTAGTTATTTCTTATGCAGCAGGTGCATAATCATAGCCACCATCATCGTCGTCGTCGTCGTCACCTTCCATGCATACTGCTGTAGCATAGCCATAATCCAATTCATCGTCATTGCCGACACCTTCCATGCATGTTGCCAGGGCATAATCGTATCCGTCGTCACCATCGTTGTCGTCATTTCCATGCTTCTTGCACCACGAGGCACTTATCATCAATTTTGAAAGGGAAAACATATCTTTTTTTGCTCTAGTTTGGACTGTATTTGAAATCAAAGAAAGAACAAGAGCAAATTTTGAGTTTGGTTTTTGAAGTTTGGATTCGATATGAATAAGTGAGCTTTGTATGTTGCCATATATATAGAGTGAAGAAGTTTGCTGGGCTTGTTTCTCCACAATTCGTCGCGTGGTGAGAGTGTGGAGTTGTGCTTCAAAGTGTGTTTTTCTTCCACTGCATGCATGTGAAATATGCCCCACTATATATACCATTAACGTGGTCCAGCTTAATCTAGGAACATTTTCGTATGCATGCACTTATACCACATATGCAGCATCTAGAATAACACTGTAACTGTATTTCAAATCATACATGCACTGTTATGTATTTTAACATTTAGTGATGTAGCTGGTCATAGATCAAATGATGTTTTTGAAAAAAGTTGAGGTTCGACTATAAAATCAATTGACAATATGGGGAGTAGCGCAATTTACTTATAAGTTCATACAAGGTCCATCTTCTCATCAATGTGGAATTTACTCTCAACACGCCCTCTCACGTATGAGGAATTTTTAAGCCTAACATGTGAACAACACAAACGGGGTGACGTGGAGCCCATGCGGGCATTAGGCTTCAAAGTTGTGACAACCTAGCACTAATACAATGACGAAAATTGAGGTTTCTACCGTAAAAATTGGTAATATAAGAAGTATCTCAATTTACTTATAAGTTCATGCAAGCTCTCTACTCCCATTAATATGAGATTCTTCTCAACAGCCTTGACCCTCCCTCTTTTGCTCAAATGCCTTAGAATATATGGAGTATAACCATAGATTATGAACAAAACCTTGTACCCTTGTGGCCACCCCGACATACAACTTATCTACGTTGGTATTAATTTTTGACATAACAGTGCATGATTAACTTAGTATATTACTACCATACAACGTCATCTCCAAATAAGGAAACCCCATTAACATAGTTTATACACTAAGGGGGCGTTTGTTGCGCCGGACTATCTCGAACTGGACTAGCTTCAAGGATTAAGCTGGACTGGCTTAGACTAGACTAAGCTGGACTAACTTAGTGAAGCGTTTGGTGCAGTGTTGGACTAAGAAGCTGGATAATAACAAATTCTAATATTATATTATTTAATATATAAATTATTAATATTTTATTATGATCTCGGTGACCGGAGATGACGAGGAGTCTATCGGGAGTGGTTGTTGAGCATGATGAGGACGAGAGAGGATAGTCTTAGCTAGTCCCATGGTTATTGGGGGGTCTCGCTAAGACCTCTTAGTGAAGGGTTTTGTTCATGCTAGTCCCTTTTAGTCTCATTAATGTTAGTCTCAGCATGGAACAAACACAGTATTGGACTAACAGCTAGTCCAGTCCAGTCCAGTCCCACTTAATGAGGGCAAACAAACGCCCCCTAAGGAATTCTACTGTCCATATGTTGCCACATAAAGCCATTGGAGGCCATTCATTTTAGATGGGTCCTATAACTAAAGATCTGACGGCCAACACATCCATCCGGGATTCTGAATGGTAAGGTGGATGACACGTTTCAAAACTCAATACCAACCAATCAATTTTTGGCTAAGATTTCAAATGCCAAAACCAAAGTCCTGCATTCGACCAGAACTAACACAACCACCAGAACCTTAGCAGCTCAGCCACAAAATGATCAGCACACAACTTTCAGACCAAATCTTCCGGCCATTAATCCCCGCCGCGTGTGTCAATTTCCGGCGGCTGATAACCACTAAGTCCAAACTACTGCCCTGCCCACGCCCTAAATCTTTGAAACTCAAACACTTAGCCCAAAACTCCAAATGGGCTATTAGGCAGCTTAGTGGACCAAAGCCCGCCAAAATTGACGTTTGACGTGGAACGGTTAGTAGGGTTTTTGTACGAGGATCTGGTTCATCTTTTTGATGATCAGGGAATTGATCGGACGGCGTATGATGAGGGTGTGAAGTTCAGGGACCCAATCACCAAGCATGACACTATAACTGGGTACTTGTTGAACATAGCCTTCTTGAAGATTGTCTTCATGCCTAAGTTCAGTTGTACTGGGCCAAACAGGTAACTGTTTTTGAATGCTTAGTTGGTCACAACAATATATTTGCTTGTTTATACCTAAGTTCGAATTCTCTTCCATGTAATTAGTGTATATTAGAATATCGCTTTATCAAAAAACTAATGAAATGGTGTAACTAGCATTTTTTTTTTGTTGGCTTTGTTGGGGCAGGCCAAATAACTATTTGAATTAGAGAAACAATACCTCATTGAATTGGTACAGTTGAATTTTGCAATTAAGCATTCGTGTTAATCACACTTGAATAATGCCACAATTTTATGTGGACTGTGCCTGGTTTTACTGACAAAGTTGCTATAGACAGACCATATGAATTCACTACATGGTGGACCATGGTTATGAAGTTCATCCCTCTACCCTGGAAACCAGAACTGATCTTTACAGGAACCTCTGTCATGGGCATCAACCCCGAGACCGGGAAGTTCTGCAGCCATGTCGTAGGAACTCCCCTGTCTAATGTCATTATTTGTATTGATTTGGTAATGTCGATAATGCAATAAAGAACAAAAGTCTTGTCCAGAGACGAATTGGTACTATCTATAACAACTTTAGTAATTCACCATCCTTTGATGTGCAGTCTCAGTATTCACTTGCCAAAACCTTAACCCTTGAACATTCGTACAGATTCTTACCCTTTTTGTATGTAAAACCTCTGCAGCTGAGGATTTACAAAACTCCAGACTTGGAAACACCCAAATATGATATTCTAAAAAGAACTGCAAACTATGAGGTGTGTTTGCTTTTTATCGAACGAGTCATGTTGTATTTGTAAAAACTTAAAGCCACGATTGGTGCCTAAAACTGAATTACCATGAATGTCTTGATTCCACAGGTAAGAAAGTATGCACCTTAAGTAGTGGTAGAGGGATCAGTAGACAAGCTGCCCGGGTCAGCTGATTTCGGTGATGTTACTGGGCGAGGCGTTATCCCTGGCTAATCATGTTTTTCTTTTCTTGTGCTTCTTCACTTAGGATGATTTGGATGATGGAATCTGTTTAGGCAATCTTTGGAAAGAACTCGAAAATGGAGAAGATACCGATGACTACTCCAGTCTTCACTGAGGCATCTGATGCCGAACTTTCCAAAGCATCCATCAAATTAGTCTGATCAGAGATGGTCTCAAACCAAAGGAGGGTTGTTCGCTTGCTCGTTACAACGATCCAGGCCGGACTTGGAGCTTTATATTGGTATGTTGTAGTAACCTCAAAGCTCAATAGTTTTTACAAATCACTAGTTATCTTCTTCCTCTTTGCTCCATTTGGTTATAAATTAAGGCTGTTCTTATACTTTTGAAACTTGATTGTTCTTATGCTTCTATTTTGCATTTTGAATTGACTTTCGACCTTTGAAATTGTAATGGGGTTGATCTGCATCGAAGAGGAATGAAGTGCTTATAGGGCTGGAAGAGTTCACATTGGACTAGCACATTGAACGCGTTCTTCGACAACTCTCCCTGTCGATCATTTTTCCCTACACGCACAGTAATAGTTTATTTTCGGCTAACAAGGTACTAAAAGAGTTTGATTTATAGAACTATGATCTGATACCGTGTAGAATTATGAGATTATATTTATATCTTAATGTACATATTTACACAAGTCAGTGACTTGAGATACAAGCAAGTTACTTGATTTATAAGAATACAAGTAATCATATCCTAAGCATAGAATTCTTAGCGGATTCTCATTCTGTAACATCTTCCCATTGATGGCTTCTATTGAATGAATATATTCACATAGTCCTAACTTTTCCTTTGAATTATGAATTATTATGTTTACAATTTACAGCTTCAACTTTCAAATCTTCTGGCAAATCTCAAAATGATTTGTGGTGCCCGAATCATAAGAAAAGGACTTTCACGCAACAAAGATGTCATATTATCAAGTCAATCATACATTGTCACATGAAAAAGTTAAAATACATAACAATGCGTGATTGGTTTAAGATACTGCCACAATAATGTTAGTCTCGAACAATGAGCCCTATGAGGCAAATATGTGACCTTTGGACTTTTGACAATTGGAAAAGGCACAAGCAGACATACCTGTGCTTAATGCCTAAGGCCATGTGCAACTGCAAGTTTCTAAAATGCCAACCCAAGCTAAGTCGGTCACATTTCCATTTCAACTGCTGACAAAGGATGCTTCATCTGTTATAATCATAAAATCAAAGTAGTTTCAAAAGCATTTATGAACCAACAAATTTAGAACTTTCTGATTGCATTTACACTTACACTATAAATCATCAATGCCCTCCTAGGTAGCTCATGGATGGGAAAACAACTTACTTGATAAGTGCCAGCAATCATTTAGCACAAAGCATTTATGAAATTATGAAAGTATACTCGTGCCATATACATTATTGTCCACGAATGAAAATAAAAGAACAACTTCGCACGTGAGTGAGTCCCATGACAACTTAATCTTCCAGTAATGCCATGCGGCATGAGACAGATGGAGAGGGAGACAGAGAGACAAAGACAGGAGACAGGGAGGTTTATCCATGTGACCGACTCATCGCCTTTATACTAATTAAGATGAAAAGAATGAACAAAGCGAAGTAAACAACTTGACATAGTCGACTGAAATTAAATATCCTGCAAAGCGCTTTGTATTAGACGCCTCACAACTGCCGGTGCAATGTGATTTCCCAAAAAACATACAGTTATGATACCAACTAATACTACGATTCAATAATTTCTTTTTTCACTTGTAAGTAAAAAATTTTAAATTTAACTTACATAGATGACGACGATATATAATATTATGTTTGACTTATTATATGACCTAGCTCTGTATCCTTTTTGGTTTCATCTTTTTTATCTGTCATTTAGGTAGGAATAAACCTATTCACAAAATGTGAAACATGGTTCATGAGTTTCAAGTGTTTATGCATGCTTACATCTTTTTACTACTAAATTGTTCATAACAATTCTGATTTCAAAGTGATTATTATACCGTTACACATAATTTATAAACACACGAATTATAATATAAGTAAACAGTAACATCATATAACACTTCAAATGATAAGAATACATTCGGTTACATTTTACATTAGTAATTCAAAGCAAACAAAACACAAATTAGAAAAATTAGAAATCAAAATCCAAGAAGGACTCTTCCAACACACAACACGACAAATTACGGAAATTTCTTTGGGTTGAGAAAATCAATCAAAAAAATCCAAACCAATCCAACGGAGAGAAATTAAAAAGAAAAACTTGATAAGAAGCTGATGATGTTGAAAGTTGCCGCCTTCATGGCTTCTCCTCCTCCGCACCACCTCTTTATTTAAACCTTAAATTAGTTAGTAATACACAACTCACCTCACCTGTCTCTCCACTCCCACTCCCTAATTATAGTCTAATCCCCATTTAACATTTTTCAAATTAGTTTCTTGTTTCTTACCGTTTGGACCTCGCACGTTCTCCTCTCTCTCTGACTCTGTCAAATTTCTCTCTCTCTCTCTCTCCATTTCTGTTTGGCTTCTGTGGTGGCATTCTGAGATCTGGTGGTGGGATCCGACGATCAGAGGTGAGTTTTTTCATCTGGGTTTTGCCTCACTGTGAATGGTTTTTGCTTTTTGCTGTGCAATTTGATTCGAATCCTTGAAAAGCTTAATGCTTGATGTAAATCTGCATCTGGGTTTTGTGTGGTTATCGTTAATCTTTGAAAAAGTTCAATGCTTGATGTAAATCTGCATATGGGGTTTGTGTGATTGTCGTTAATCTTCGAGTTCTAGTAATTTTTTTTCGGAAAAAAAAAAAAAATTCTGTAGTAAATTCTGATTTGGGATTACTTTGTTGGCGGTAAATTTAAACTGCAAACGATAAGAAAAACAAAAGGTTTGGAACTTTCCCGAATCAAAGTCTGAAGCTTTTATTTTAGACCTTGGATGTAGGAGCCTTAAGTTTTTGCTTTCACTTTTTTTTTTAGGAGACAAGGTGATTTATAGGTGTAAATCAAACGTTTCTTTGTAGTGGCTTATAAACGTTAGAGAAATGGTGTATTTTTAAGGATTTCTGGCCCATTTTCTATTGAAATTTTTTTGGAATTGAGGCGTGTTAAAGTATATTGTGATACCTTTGTTCTTGTGCTTTTAGAATTGACTGGTATTATGATCTTGAGGTCATTTGATCTGATCCATTTTGTTGTATATTATCTATCAGGGAAAAATGGCAGACCCGAAACCCGACACACCCTTGATCCCACCATCGTCGTCATCACCATCGTCGTCAAGAAACCTCCCCGACTTCAAAAATTCAGTTAAACTGAAATATGTGAAGCTTGGGTACCATATTCTCATCACCCATGGCATGTACCTCTTTCTTTCCCCTCTTGTTGTCGTTATCGCTGCCCAGATTTCAACATTTTCTCTCAAGGATCTTTATGATCTTTGGGAGCATCTCCAGTATAACCTGATTTCAGTGATTATCTGCTCGACTCTCCTTGTTTTCCTATCCACCGTGTACTTTGTCACCCGCCCTCGCCCGGTGTACCTTGTTAACTTTTCGTGCTACAAGCCAGAAGAATCTCGAAAATGCACGAAAAAGATTTTCATGGAACAGTCTCAGATGACTGGTACTTTTACAGATGACAATCTTCAGTTCCAGCGTAGGATCCTTGAGAGATCTGGCCTTGGTGACTCGACTTACCTTCCCGAGGCAGTTCTCAACATTCCTCCAAATCCGTCAATGAAAGAAGCTAGAAAAGAAGCTGAGGCTGTGATGTTTGGTGCCATTGATGAGCTTTTCGCTAAGACAGCTGTTAAACCTAAGGACATTGGAATCTTGATTGTGAACTGCAGCTTGTTCAATCCAACCCCGTCTCTTTCTGCCATGGTTATCAATCATTACCAGCTTCGAGGGAACATAGTCAGCTATAATCTTGGTGGGATGGGATGCAGCGCAGGTCTGATCTCGATCGATCTTGCTAAAAATCTTCTTCAGGTGCATCCCAACTCCTATGCACTGGTTATCAGCATGGAGAACATCACCTTGAACTGGTACTTTGGAAACGACCGCTCAAAGCTTGTCTCAAATTGCTTATTCCGGATGGGAGGGGCTGCTATATTGCTTTCCAACAAAAGCTCAGACAAAAGAAGGTCCAAATACCGATTGGTTCATACTGTTCGCACTCACAAGGGTGCTGATGATAAATGCTTTAGCTGTGTTACCCAAGAAGAAGACGATAACGGGAAGATTGGTGTTACTTTATCAAAGGATCTGATGGCAGTAGCAGGTGATGCTCTAAAGACCAACATCACCACATTGGGGCCTCTTGTTTTGCCAATGTCCGAACAGCTGCTTTTCTTTGCGACATTGATTGGGAGGAAACTTTTCAAGATGAAGATCAAACCATACATCCCGGATTTCAGGCTAGCTTTTGAGCATTTCTGTATTCATGCTGGAGGGAGAGCGGTCTTGGATGAGTTGGAGAAGAACCTGCATCTATCGGATTGGCATATGGAGCCATCGAGGATGACACTCCACCGATTTGGAAACACCTCAAGTAGCTCTCTTTGGTATGAATTAGCTTACACAGAAGCCAAGGGAAGGATTAAGAAAGGAGATAGAACATGGCAGATAGCTTTCGGATCGGGATTCAAGTGCAACAGCGCTGTGTGGAAGGCTCTTAGGAGCATAAACCCAGCAAAGGAAAAGAACCCGTGGATGGATGAAATTGATCGGTTCCCAGTCGATGTTCCAAGGGTGTCAACCTTCTAATTGAAGTAATATTTCCCTTTCTTATGCCACCGGATTTAGGTGGCTTTTGATAGCTTTCTTTCTGTTTGGAGGTCCTAGAATTGGTTTTCTTTGCTTTGCCATTTCTGGAGGTTCTAGGAAGTTGATTGTTTCTTTTAGGGCAGATGTTTGGTGGCTTAGGGTGGAAAGATGGCAGCCAAATTTCACTTACAAGGGGATTGTCCGAGTATTGGTGGATTTAGGTCATTAAATTCGAGCATTTCGAATTAGGAATCGGGGTTGTGGAATGGTTAACATGTTGTAAATCATAATTTGGATGGAATTGAAAGTTTGAACTAATTCAATTTAGCCCTCTTTGTTTTGCTTGTTTTTGTTGTCTTTGGTGTGAGGTTTGCTTGTTTTTAATTGTTCTGGCATAGAACAGTCGAAGTGTTTTCTGCAGAAGCACTTGCGAATTCATTTCCAAATGCTTTTCCAAGCAGCACTTGGATTTTAGAAAAAGTTTCTACAATTTTATATAAAGAAAATCACTTCTACTAAAAACGCTTGCGAGGACAAGCACTCGACTAAAAGTCCGTAATGGGCACTTAAAAAAGTTTCATTTTTCACCTCATGGCATATGAAAAGTGCAACTCGAAGTTCTAATGGGCAAACGAACAGCTATCAGGAACCAAACTCATGCAAATCACAGATTGGTACATCTCTTTATAAAGGAAAAATAACAACAGGTAGTCCGAACATGTCTCTGATAAAATCATGACAATGTCGCACGTTAACCCGATTTCTAAAAGCACGCCTAATTGTTGGACAATGACATACAGAATCTAGAAGATTAAGAAGCCGAAACAACAAATTAACCGTGTCATTAAAGTTGCTAAGAGACTCTGTTCCTTGCAGAAACTTGGCACTCTTCCGCAGCTGTAGTCCGTTTTTGTTAGCTACTCCTTGGTCGACTTGTTGATAAGTGACTTGTGGATGTGAGGGATCACACCTCCACCAGCAATGGTTCCTTTGATGAGGGTGTCGAGTTCCTCGTCACCACGAATAGCAAGCTGCAAATGCCTCGGAGTGATACGTTTCACCTTGAGATCCTTGCTCGCATTGCCTGCCAACTCTAACACCTCAGCAGTGAGATACTCCAAGATCGCTGCAGAATAAACTGCGGCCGTTGCTCCCACTCTCCCATTAGCTGTGGTCCTTAACTTCAGAAGCCGGTGGATTCGACCCACAGGGAACTACACATATACAACATACTAGTAAATGGCAGTATCAACAAACAAACTTTCCAGCCTCTGGTTGTAAAAATCCAACAAATGAAGGGATAAAACAAAAATACGAAAGAATGAATGAATACGGAACAGGGTTACAGTCCAGACAAATTATTCACTTGAGAATGCCGTCATGTCCCCGCGAACCACCAAAAAGCAAACCAATATAACAGAAATATGAACCATGAAGGCCGACTAACAGTATCAAAGAACCCTAGGATACAGATCAATGGACAATTGCAAGAGAAAGAGAAACGCAAAGTCCAAAGCACTGTGAAAGAAACTACAAAACCATAGGTGTGGGACAAAGTTTTTCAATACTCTCCTCATGTAATGGAAATTACTTTAGTACGAGAGAGACCAACAGACGGAATTCAACAAAAAGTTACAGGTCGCAGTTGCAGGTATATAAACTCAGGATCTCCCCCGCTCTAATGCCATGATAAGTTTTGTTGGATTTTACGACTATTCCTGCAGCTTAAGACATGGGAATGCGAGTGAACTACCGTATTTATGTTCTAATATATTCTATAACTTAATCCAAGAGAGCAAATACGTCTATGAAATTGAATAATAATACAAACTAACACAGCGATTAAGTTAGGCGAGTTGTAAGTGATGTTCCGAGTGAGGAGGCATTCAAGAAGAAATTTTTTATTTCGGACACTCTCTAATCCAACCAGATAGCAAGAAATCCTAAAGAGAAAGCTGTTTATTCTAAATTCCGACACACCACCTTTCCGAAACATATCATCCCCCAAAAAACTATCTTCCAAAGTTAAACTAGCGATATATCGATGCCCTCACTAATACCATGTTTCAAAGCTCGATTCCAATACCTTCCTGTGAGATTTCCAATTCCTTCCAAAAGCCATTTCAAATTCAAAATCTTACATTCTCTATGTTACACCTAGCATTTTTACGGTTCTTTCAACTAACCCGGGCTTATTGTAAAGAACCAAATCCGATTTATAACTCATTCCATCCACATCCTAAAGGAACCCGACTAAACAAAACTAAATGGAAACCAAGAACACACTGTTTTTGCCACAAAAATAAAATCTACACCTCTAATGGTTGCTCAAACAACTTAGAGCTCGTTTAAATGTGTTTTTAAAATGACTGAAAGCGTTTTTGGTGAAAATATTTTTGAAAGCAATCCTTATTTGAAAAGCACTTAAATGTTTCTTGAAAGAAGAAGTGCTTCTTGGAGAAAGCACTTAAAGTGCTTGGAATACAAAAACATTTTATTTAAAAGCGCTGAGCCCTTAACCATCAAGTCTTCCACTACATGATTCTGCTTCCCAAAACATGAAACCCCAACAGTTAAAGTGATAACATTTACCGCCAAAACAAGCAAAACCCAAGTCAAATTTCCATCCTTTTCCCCTCTTCATTTCACAAATTTACTCAAAACTCCTCTCTCAACAGGCAAAAATCCAGATAATCTCAAAACCCCGAACACCAAAATCAGAAATCGAAAAGGGGTCAAGAAGTAAAATAACAACCTGAAGGCCGGCGCGGGATGAACGAGAGATGGGTTTCTTCTTGTCCTTATCTTTGCCGCCGCTGTTGGTGGCGGTCTTGCCCATAATCAGCCCCTTCGCGCCCTTCCCCGACATCTTTTCCCGCGAAAAGTAACGGATAACGGATTTTCGCCGAGGTTTTATTTATGGGGGAGATTTTAAATCGAATTTTATTCAATGATTTGATTGAAAATAAATAAAAAATCTCTCTCTCTCTCTCTCGTTTCTGGTCTCTCCCGATACCAACACGCAAACGTAATCGCGATTCGCAAATGGTCGGCCAATCCTTTGGAATTGGAACCAGCCTACTTATTCAATCCCTCTTTGACCAAATTAACCCTCGTACTTTTCTCTATTTACGACCTGTACTTTTTTCTTTTTCTTTACATTTTTTTTAATTATTTATCTTTGGGATAATTTTATTTAAGCTTTTTAGTGAAAATAATTCCGAATAATTCCATATTTTGATCTCTATCAATGATAATTGACTTAAAAATTAAAAATAAAAGACAACGAAAATCTATAGAAGTGATCCTTGAATTTGCCCACTGCAAATCATTTCGGTTGTTCTATGAAAAATCTGTCAATATTCTTGTTAAGTGAAAAGATTGGTTTGACAAAAACACCCTTAAAAGGATCGTCACTAGTCGTTCACATGATAATTTAATAAGGATATTAATAAATTTTTCATTAAATGATCAAAATAATTCACAATTGACAAACCCAGAAACCATTTCAATTCATTTTCATTGTCAGGAACCAACGTAAAGACCATGTCAAACTCAAGAACTATTTTAAATAAAAAACCTTTTATTTATGTCTTAAATTTTTTTCAGGCCGGTGGATTTTACCTCCGGTCACTGAAAAGACAAAATCCAGGTAATTTAGTGGCGAAATTGAAGTTTCAGGCATTAAATTGAGTTATAACCTTCTAGGGACACAGCAATAGTAACCTTTAAATTTCCCTTGGCAACTTGGCAAGATCTTGAAAATGAACAAAATTCCAGGTTTCTTAGGTTCATCAGTTTCGGAAGCGATCCGATCATCGTATGCAGTAACGATTCGTTTGTCCGGTCGATGTTTCGGTAACGAAAAACAGTGAGCTAAAAGTTGTACAAAAAATTCTTGTTTTAGTCTGTCTATGTAATGAAGTAATCAAACTAGGATGGATAGATCTCAAATATGAAAGGCATTGGCTACATATACTCTTGGACCACTTCACTCGTTCACAGCCGCCTCTTCCTTCTCCTTCGCTTTTCCCTCTTCTGTGATGTGGAACCCCTCGATCTTGTGAGAAACCTCTTCTGCGGGTACCTTCACCTTTCCAACTGACCCATTAGCTGCCAGCGCCTCAGCTTCATCTGGAGTCAAGGGGCCGGTCTGCCATATTCTGATGGTGCCATCTTCTGATCCTGAGGCGTATGATTCCCCTCCGGGTGAGAAGCGCAAACAGTGAACTGGACCGTGGTGACCCTTGTTGCATGCTGCATCCAGATACGAACGGGTTAACTGAGGTTTCAGAATAAGAAAAACAATGCAATAGCCGAATGATTACAACAACACACGACAGAATGATTACAACAACACACGACTGAGGTTTCAGAATAGGACAAGGACTAGGAGTCAGATACCGTTAACTATTAGTCTATTGGACGTATATTGAAGGCATGGAATTGAATCCATCATATTGCTAGTTAACCCTTGGAGTCGGCTGTACAAAGGAACTGCAAATTCACTAAAACGGATTTTTTGTTTTGGAACACATACCGATCTCTTCACCGGTATGGAAATCAAATACATGAACCCACATGTCTTCTCCCCCGGCAATGAACTTGTTCCCAAACTTTGGTTCCAGCGAAGCAG